TATTATTATTATTATTATTATTATTATTATTATTATTATTATTATTACTACTACTTAGGGATGGCCAAAAATCTTTGACCATCGATTTATTGAAATATATCGCATACCCAATATCGATACCACAATATATCGACTGCTATTTTATCGATATATATCGAACATTTCATATAATAGGGTGCAAGGTGTAACGGTCTACGAAATAATAGATACTGATAATGATCAATATTCTTTTATGGCTCTATCGTCTAATTTTCATTCTAATAATAATTTAATAGTAGATATTCTGTGGACACCCGTAACAGCTGTATACAATACACTATAAGCCTATATCGACTTCCGATGTAATCAATGAGGATTGTGTGGTGCAAATGTGCAACATGTAAACACTAAACATAGCTATTATTATTAATCTATAACATCGCAAATAATTTATAAATGTATATAAATATAATATATCTAGGTTTCTCAACGATTTATCTTATTGAAATATCGAAAGAATCGATAATATTGAGTTGATATATCGACTTCATATATCGATATTTTTGATATATCGTTGTCATCCCTACTACCAGCCCCTATTTTTTAGTGAACTTCGACACAATATATGTAGTTCGAAACTGGAAGTATGCATTATGGATTAGAGAACTGTGTACCTTTACTAATAAATAAGACTTCTATGAAAGTGTTTTTCAGGAAGCCAGTTTAAACAAAACAACTGATGAGGACTTGAATATATCAATTAAATTTTATATTATAATACTCTCATTAAAATAAATTATAAAATTATAATTATAATTATAAAATAATTAAATTTCTAAATAGTTTTCATATTTATATCAGACAAAAGTATATTTTCGGTTTAAAAAATAATAACAGATTGGTAGATACCTAATTATAATGTGCAATTTGATAAATAAAAAAGAACTATTACTAAAGACTATTATTTACTTTGTACTAAGGCCCTTCACACACGAGACGATTGTAACGCCACACGATTATTGAGCGATTTATGCGATATATGTGATACAAGCAATCTGTGCGATTACGGGGGCGCACACGATGCGATTGTTGTACGATTATTATTATCGTTATTTGTGTATTAATCGGTTATTATCAGTCGTTTACTGACATTTGCTCGGTTCTTTAGTGGCCTTTTTTAAAATGCCGAGTTCATCTAGTGACGAAAAAGAAATGTTTACGTACTATTTGTTCAAAAAGTTGGTTGGTAGAAAAATGCAAGAAAAGATCATAGAAGGAAATTTTGGTTTCATCCTTATATTCAAAGAAATAACCTCTGTCGACTTTTTGTTTCGGCTAGAGAACTTCAGGAAACCGACGTTAAATTTGTAGCATTTTACAGAATGTCAAAGAAATCCTACAAAGAAATTGTAGACATTATATCTTCTGCTAATTATCAGAAGAATACCAACATGAGAGAATGTGGGAGTGAAAAAGAAATTCCTATTTCAATTTCACCAACAAATTTAATATTGAATGCCTATATAGTTAAAATTATGTGTAAATAAATAATATTATATGACGAAAATAAAAATGTAATTATGCGCGATTCGTACGACGCGACTGCCAAGCGATCAGCACTGTCGGTCGCGCGTGACGTCTGTCGCTCGCGTCGCCATCGCGTCGTTATTAAATTGCGTCGTTAGTGGATCACCATTAACTTTGATAGGAAATCGCTCGTATCGCATATATCGCATAAATCATGTTGCGTTACAATCGCCTCGTGTGCGAAGGGCCTTATGATCATATGAAAGAAGATCGAGGGGGGCTCTATATCATATCATCGTACATTGAAAAATGCGTAGTTCGAATTTTCATGGAAAATAGGGGCTGTCCAATACTAGTTCACTACCATTAAAAAACGATCTCAACGTTCCCTCAACAACTAGGTAACTGACTCTTTAGTTTTTCACCAATTCGCCAGACTAGCTTTGTTGTTATTTTAAAAATCCTTAAACTATTCATACAAAGTTTTTCATCTTTCGATCGATCATTATTCTGTGTACATAAACCCATAGTTTTTATTTATTTTTTTAGGTTTTCACGCTAATGGACAAACGTGTGCACCCTTCTTTTATAATTTCGCGGTAACTATTTATTAGCAGGTATTTTAATGCTCAAGTAATAGTGGTAATAATATTTATATATTGCATGACAAGATTTATTTTCATTTCTAGTAAATTTTATGGTGGGTAGTATAAACATCATATTTTTTGTCACTGGTAAAACACATGGTTGTCATACGCATCAAAATGACCATTTTCCCAAGATGTTGATTAAATTTTAACAAGCGTTCGATTAATAGTCTTTGAATAGTGGTGCAATTAGAAGGGGGTTAGGAGTTGTTGTGGTATCACCCTCCTCCCTTTGAAACATGTTGTTAACCTTAATCCATTTTTCACTGCACCACTGTTATTGAGGAAGTAATATATTTGCCTAATACCATAATAATAAATCTCTAAAAATACATTTTAAATTTCAAATTCGAAAAGAAATTAAATATATTTTTTCGATAAAAAATATTACTCCTCAGCTCTAGGACATCAAGTTAATTTATCATTTCAATTTTTGTAGCATCATGACTCATCATCTGCAGGCGAATCAAATTTACTCAAAACATATTTTTAATTTGATATTTACTATAAATCCCTCTTTATATTCCCCTTACATTTTTTTAAGATATAACTAATGAATAAAACGTATATTTATTATACGATAAAAATCATTTAATAAAAATAAAATCAGTTCACTCACCTTAGGAAAATTTACATTCAGTTTTATGATTGAAATTAACTCATTTTATTCATTTTTTATTCTAGAACTATCAAGAAATTTAATTTATCCTATTTTAATTTTTTTGTTAAAAAATAGTCTAATTGCAACAAATTTAATTGTTTTTTAGGTTTAAATTTACAGTATAACTTGAATATTTATTGCTATCCTTTCAGATTTGAGTTATTAAATAATGCTAATTTTTTTAATTTTTATTCAATACAATTATTACATTCAATAAACAATATTTCAAGATACATCCTTGTATTTGAAAATGTACCAAATTTTTTATACCTCATCATTAATGATTTTATTTTATTTTTGATGTACTTGTTTTAGAGATGACCATGATGTGTTGATACAACTCAATGATAATGATTCTGATTTAAACGATGATGTTGTAATTATACCAAGATTTGAACAGCCACAGGGAGGATTTAATCCTCCTCATTATTTATCTCTTTTAATACCATTTGAAGAAGATGTAACACATTATAATCAACATTTAACTTCATTACATATGGTAATTTATTATTTATTTACCTATAAATGAATAACCTATTATTTTTAAACTATCAAGTTTACACTTTCAATATAGTCTTAAAACAAATTTCAAATTAATATTAGAATTTTTTTATAATATATATTTATATAATATATTTTATTATTATTATATAATCATATGTTTGAACTCTTAACTTTAATAAAACTTTTTATTTTAATATTTTGTATAAAAAAATGTAACGAAGATAAACAGCTATTAAAAATAATAAGTTATTATAAAAATCAAAATATAATGGTTTTCTGAGGAATTATAAATAATATTGTTTTAATATTATATAAATTTACCATAATTATAATGTATAAATATATATATATATATATATATATATATTGCTGAAGGGCTTACATTTATTTATAGTCTGAATAATATTAAAAATTTACAGTATATATATTTATAATAAATTATAATTTATATGTAGAAAATTTTGTATTATTTCTGGGGGAAGGGTAAGCCTTTCAAAAGAATATAAATGTATATTTGATTAAATGAGTTTAATTAGCAATAAACTTATTTAATGTTCAATAAAAAAATTTTGTAGTATATTAAGTACATTTAAGCTATTTTTAATGTTTTATTTATTTAAATTATTTGACATATTTTTTATTATGTTAGTATTTAGGAGAACTTGATCAAATTAATACTATCAGATCACTTACCGTAAATTCTATTCAAAAAATACCAGTTTTATTTTTAAAATTGCATTTGGTACCCGGGCAAATTTTTCCAATCATTGCTTACTCTGAAATTAAACAAAAGTTTTTTAGATATGTCTTAACCAGAAAGAAATTTAGATTCGGTGTCTCATATCAATTGTAAGTTTTATTAATTTTATACTTAATAAAATTAATTAATTAGTAAAATTGTATTTTTTTTTTTTTTAGAAATACAGATGAGCAAAGTACATTTGGAACAATTGCCGTTATATTTGAATACAATAGGGATTCTCTTCAGGAATATTCACTACCTTATTCAGCCAAGGCTATGGGCCATCAACGATTTAAAATTTTATCTGCTACTACATTTCCTGGCTGGTAATTTAATTTATATAATTTTTATTTACCTTTAAGGAATCTATATATGTAAAAATAAATTGTCTCATGTTTGTATGAGAATGACTAGATCTGTCAATAATTCTTTGAAATTTAGCAAGACCAATTTATTTTCTTTTGCGTGTTTGAAATATTCACAATCTTTTTTATATTCCAACCAGGTATTGAAATATGCTAAATTAATCGCATGAAAATACAATTTGAGATCCGTTTTTTTGATTTTAAATAGCTCCTATAATTAACAATAAGTTGATCAATTTTGTCAACGCCCATGCCATTTTTGTGTAATTTGATTGCTTCCAAGCGTTCAATATTCATTATTTATCATCATTAATATTTTCGAATATATCATTGCCATAATATTTTAGGAGTCAATATCATTTATGATCGCTAAAGACTTTATAAGTCAAAAATCATTTTTGTACAGGGAGATATTAATCAGCAATAAAAATATAATCCTTCAAAGTAAAAAACATGTACAATATTTTTTGATAACAGAATTTTTTTCTGAGTTTTTTTCTTCTGTACGTTCAAACGTTTCACACATGTTCCCTTAAAACATCTAAGCATATTACACTAAATATAATCTTTTTTTAACTATTTGGAATTTTTTTAACCACGATTAATTTTGATTTTAGTGAAAATGATAATTCCATCATGATAGCTACTGTCAAAATTTTACAAGATATTACATTATCTACTCATCCTCACCTCAAGGTGTGCTTGAATCCAAGGAACCATAATCAGAGTAGCGCGTAAGTAATACATTATTTATTTAAAGTGATGAACATTAAAATATTATATATTCTATTTCCTATAGATATAAGAAAAATATGTGGCAATCTCCGTGGCCAAATTGGGTTTATCATCAATTTGATGCATATCATTTAGCATCATTTCTAACAAAAAAAATCCAAACATTATGTAAGTAAGCATAACTTATATTTAATAATAAAAATAGTATTTATAAAACCCGAATTGAGGGACTAATGGCCTTATTTGTTCTGTCCTCTTTAATAGATAAAAAAAAAAAATACTTATGACATTTTTTTTTTATTTATTTGATTGAAATTACTAAATACCATAAAATTCAAAAAAAAAAAAATTGTAAAACCATATTTTATTCAGTTTAAAAGTACACCAATTTTAAACTCATTAATTGAACCCTAAGTACAGAAAACTAATGGAAAAGGTTTGAACTTTTAATTACAGCATAGATAATTTTTTTTACATAATTAACTAATTTTTTTATGAATCTACATTTCTTGCTCAGAATGTTCATTCATTTATAACTGATTTTACATTTCTAAATTAAGTAAAACTAATATCATCAAAAACTTGATTTGCACTTGGATTAGATTTTTAGATTTTTACTTAAAATTATATCCAAATAAAGTTTAATTTGTAACGTTTGCAGGCGCGTACCGGCCCACTGGGATACCGGGAAAATCCTAGTAGGTCCTCTTAAAAATTATAAGACCAGGGCCCCTTACCAAATAGGTACCTGTAGTTCCAGTTAAATTCAATAATTTTATTATTTTTAACAATTTTAATTGAATAGTTTAAAAGAGAAAATTACATAAAGGACAAATAATAAATTTCGTTGGTTATTTACTGATAATGCAATTTTTAGTATACTACTCGTATAATTACTAGCTTTGATCATATATAACTATTTAATACTTATACATAATATCATTGATTATAAATACAATAATGTATAAATATAATAGTCTTTATGATCAATGATAATATGTATAAATTATTTATAATATGTATATATTGTATTCATCGAAAACAAATAATTTTTAATTAGAATTCTAGTGAATTATAATAAGAGGAGCACTAGACATGACAAAACGGCTGCGAGTATATAGTATACTCTGACTGAATTTGTTTATAATAAAGTTATTTATAAATTACTTGGATTACCTAATAATTAACAACAATAATTTTGAATATTCTCTGGAAAATAATAGTAATATAATGTATACAAGAAAAAAAATATAATTCATTTTTATTATACATATCAAATGTTATTTATGAGTTCAATATGGATTCTCAAGAGCAAGGGAGGTGAACCTTTTTTGATTTGAGTGCAAAATTCTTCCTTTTTAGGTATTGAAAATCTTTCACGTCCTTAATAATATTAAATTTTCTAAGAATAAAAATAAAATTACAGATTTATTATATTATTTTTATTAAATTTAATATAAGAATTACTAATTTTACTATAGTGAAACACAAGCAGTAATTGTTTCATTGGTCAAAACATTTCTTTCCTTTTTAGTTAAATTAAATTTGTTATGGCGAATAAGCTTTCATAAACTTATAAGCTTAAGTTAACGAAAAATATGAAAGCATAAGAAATATTGTCATTTTTAAAACATATATAATTTGTTGATTTGAATTTCTTACAACCCACATTTTATAAATAGATTATATTTTTTTTTTGTGTACAATTTTTAATAATTTCAATTTTTTGTGCGTGTCATAAGTTCGCCACCCCTGCTTTAAAGTATAATGGATTTTATTTGATGTTTACAAGTTTCTTTTAAAACTTTCTCTTGCTCGAGTAACGTGTGAATGATCATTTTCTAAACTTATAATTATAAAAACACATTTAAGAAGTTGTTTAACACAAAATAATTTGGAATCATTGTTTTGATGAACTGCGAAAGGGAATTTTTGGCTAATATTACATCGACTCAATTAATTGACTTAATGTGTGAACAAAGTACAGAAATTTTAAGAATGTTGAAAGTTTGGTTTTTAAATATTTTACTGAAATATTTAAATATTATTTTACGAACATATTATTCATATTATATAATTTATACGAGTTTTTTAAAATTTATTTTTAATATTTAATTTACATTTTATTCGAGATTATTTAAATAAAAATAATTATTTTAATATTGTTGCGTATTTATTTATTTTTATAGAATTTAAATCAAAGTATAGATTTGGTTTATTATTTAGGTTTATGGTTGTTTTATAGTATTGTGTAAGAAATGAGTAGGTATACATGAAATCCTTTTTTATTAGTATGAATATTAAGTAGGCCCTAATTATATACAGTTTCCCGATAAGGAAAATGGACCCAGTACGTTCCTGAATGTTTAATAAAAAAGAGTAATTTAGTTTATACATCAGTATTAATTTTTATATTTGATTATTCATACATTTTAATTGGGAAGGTTAACTGAGTAGACTCAGATAGGAGTATCAACCTGGATGACTTCTGGTTGAAATATAGCCACAAGCAGTTTATTTTTCTGATTAAATTATGTCCATTACAATGTAGAACCATTTAAAAATGCATTTATTTATTAAATTTTTAGATTATTTTAATTACACGCATAGGCGTGCGCAGACTTTATTCGCAGGTTATGCAATAAGAAATATAGGGCCCCTCACAAATAAATTTTCTAATCTTCCCTTAATTTATTTGCATTTTCTTTTAACGCATATGAGATTCAAGTTACAATCTAAGTTTTTGCATATATACTACTTAACTTCTTTACTTCCCTTAGAATCTAAAATCACACATAGTTTTACAGTAGAATATTAAACAATGCACTGTAGAAATAAGTAGTTTGAAATTTGATTTATATTTATTAAAAAAAAATTTATTATTTATTTAAGATCAAGTATGTACTATATTGAATGCTTTTGAATAATTTTAACATATTTATAATGTTGTTATTTTATGGAGAGTACGTAAAATCTAAAGTTCAAGTCTTCTTTTTATCGACACACATGCTTTGAATTCATCTATTACATCTTCAATATTGATTTCTGATGCCATCTTTTGCTCGATAAATATTAACATCAGTGAATCAAGACGTTCTTGTAACATAGTGTTTCTAAGTTTAGACTTTACAATAAACAATTTGGAAAAGTCCCTCTCGCACGAGCAGCTTGTCACAGGTATTGTTGCAAATTGTGTTAAAGCTTTATTGAAGTTTGAAAATATTATTTTCCGGTCGTTTTCTGATAATTAATTCAGCCATACTACAATGTTTTAGTTGATGACCCTCTAATAGAAGTTCTATCAGACATATTTGTAATGAGCTTAATTTCAGACTCAAATTAAATTTTTCCTTCAACATTGAAATATCATTACTATCAAGCTTTAATTGATTTAAATTTCCTGTGTTGGTAATTAAATTTAAAGTTTCTTAACTTAATAATAAATGTGGGCCCCTCACATGAAGCCGCAGACTATGCAGCGGCATACCCTGCATACCCCGTGCGCACGCCTATGATTACATGGATTACACACCGATAATACTAATTTTCTTTTATTCAGCATAATTTTAAACAAGAAACTTATTCAAGTAAAATATAAAATTCCTTTGATTTCATGTATTTTTTTTTTATTTTACAGTTAAAAAAATCAAATTATCATCTGATCCTTGTGTTTTATCATTTCAAGTGATGAGACTTGGTATATTCAGTCCAAAACAAATAAACCTCCTGTTGGGTATTGAATCATTAATCATTAAGCTTCAATGGGAACTAAATTATTTGAATGAAAATGTGAGAAATGTTAACATTTTAAAATATTATATTAAGATTATAAATAATTGCATTGGTTCTTAACTTTTTTTTTAGCAACCAATGAATAACTTTAAGTGTGCAACAAATGGCTGTGAAGTAACATTTTGTAATACTAACAGTGTATTCTTAATGTCAATTGATGGACCCCAGGGAATTTTTAGTACTCCATTTGGAGAATTTCATTCCATAATCACTGTAACTTCATTAGATATAACATTGGAGTTGACAAAAGTAGAATTTATAACAAATACATGTCGATGGTTTTATGGGTAAGATAATTTATTCATTTATATTTCATGGTATTTCATTATTGTGAATATTATTTTTTTGTTTAGGTATAGAGGACTAAAAATAATATGTCCAATGTGTCTCAATCATTTCGGTTGGCATTTTGTATCTTTAAGTGACTCACGAAGTGGTTTTTATGCAATATCTTTGAATGCTATAAAAACTATTTTGTAAGAATGCTATATTTATAATATTTATAATTATGTGAATCTATAATCGTGAATTACATAAATTCAAGATTGTCAAATTGACTACTGGTAATGAAATTATAACTAATAATGTTTATGTTTCTATTTTTTTTTTATTTTTGTATATTATAGTCATCCCTACTAGTTCATTACATATTTTATTTGATATTTATTATTTACCAATTTTACTCGATTAACTAAATATTAAATTTAAATTTATCATTATTCAATACATCTGACACTCAATCGTTTATTATAACATGCAAGAGTGGTATTGAATACCAATTATAGGGATATTTTAATACTAAGTTAAATTGCTTTTAATACTTCATTGATTTCTATAAATTATATTCATCGGATATCAAACAATTATCTAAAAAAAAAAAAAAAAAATGCATAATTCTAATTAACTGAAATGTGTAAATTATTATATTCTCTTTCTATAAACTGAAAATATAGTATTTATCACACTTTTATGGAAATGTATCTTTAGATTTATAATTATACTGTACATGTGTATGTCACTAAACTCCTAAACGGCTGGACCGATTTGAATGAATTTTTTTGAATACGTTTGTGTTACGCCCTGGATAGCTCGGCAGATGGTGCTGCAGTTGATATCTAAGTTATTTATCTGGATTCATAGGTTTTCTGTTTGTTAGTCCTTTATGCATTTCCAAACGGCTGGATCAATTGCAACGAAATGTGATACAGAGATATATTAAACCTGACAGAAGATAGGCTAAGTTTAAAATTGATAGGCTCAACCCCGGAAGCAAGGGCGTCATTTGGGGAGGGGAGGGCAGACTATGGCAAATGCTTCAATCTAAGAAATTTTAAAAAGTTGGCAATTCTTTGGCCGATGATCAAATACTAAAATCGGTAAATAGTAAATTTTTATTTGCTATTTTGTACTCAGAAATCAGATAATATTCTCTTTTAAATACACGTTCACGGTTTATTAAAAGTTGGGAAGCTCTGGCTCCACCCCAATTCATGACAATCGTTATTACGCGAACCTTATAAACTTTATTTTTGGTATAATATATATTTCTATTTATGTGATTTTTATAAATCAGCTTTCGTGATATCGATACCATAAAAATTGAGCTCATAATCTATAAAAAATCGTTAAAATCGTTTCTATTCATCAAACTACGGTACATTATATTTGAGATACAATTTTATGTTGTTATAAATAAATTCTGTAAAGTATTGAATATACAAATAATAAAATTACAAGTATTTATTTAATTAGATTTATATTATTATTCCATTAAACCCATTAATAGGTAACTTATAGCCTATAGGATAAGTAAATAAATTAATGTTTTACTATCTTTAATGTTATTATTTAATTGGGTAAATTGAAACGTTTCATGTTCTTTGTTTATCATCATGATATCATTATTCATTACTAATTCTTACATGTTGTGTTCCGAAAAAAATATCTTATTGATAGTCTATCGTCCATAAATATTAAATATTTAAATATATAGGTAATTATAATTTTTTAAATATTATGAAGTCGGCAAATTTAATCAGTTCACCCACCCTTTCAAAAGTTGAAATTACGCCTCTGGCCGGGAGGTACTCAAAGAGACATTTTGAGATTTACGATGGACATTTTTGTTTATAAATAGTTGCTATTAGTTTCAATAATAATAATATTAATTAGTGCGAAAGAAATTATTATCCCTGAATTTGTTATCATTATTTTTTATTATTTGTTTCCATGGCACGTGCGTGTAGATATTAAAATGCATTAAAAAAAAAAAAATGCGCTTATGGCACCGCACGTTCTAACATTAAAATTTGGCGTGCCCATTATTCTTCTACAAAATATCAATCCACTACGATACTGCAACGTTATCAGGCTTTCAGTGAAAATGTTGATAAACAACATTATCGAAGTTACAATTTTAAACCGAAAGTTTAAAGGCTAAGATGTACTGTTGCCTCGGGTAAAACACGATTGCGTACTTTTGTTATCGGCGCTACACGATTACGTACGAAGTTTTGAACGTTGATACCAATTTTTTATACTGGTATTGGTGTATACCACATGCCTATAAAAGAGAACTTATAAAAGGTAATAAATAATATGTGTTTTATTGCATTTATTACCTATGTTTATTGTTAATGATATCAGATATAACGAAATTCCGTTATTTCCGTTATATTATATAGTATTTTCCGAGTTTAAGTAAAATTAGTAGGCTATAGATGTCAAGAAATCTAAATTTAAGCATTTTAAAATAATTTATTTACAATAATTTTATTCAAATAAAAATATTCGATTTTATTTATTTATTAATTATTTTTCTTTTATTTAGTTATCCTCATTTTATTTATTATTTTATTATTAATTATTTTTATGAAATATTATAGAACTGTATATGAATTCTATATTTAGATGTAATACAGCGAAATTAGTAAATTTAACAACGTTGCATACAATTTCATACGCAATCGTGTTTATTTTTCTTACCCATCTTTTTGTTGCCCATCTACAAACGTACGCAATCATGTTGACAAAAAGGACAAACTTACACAATCGTGTTTTACTCGTTGCTTCACATCCCAATGATTCCAACAGATATGCCTTTGGAAAAACTTTGCAGTTTCCTGTGCGACTCATTTTTGAAATTATCATGAACAAAGCACAAGGACAATCGCTACAAGTGTGTGGTGTGTAAACTGAATTTGGAAAATCCATGCTTCTCACCAGTGGCGGATCTAGGATTTTATCATGAGAGGGAGATATAAAGTATTTTCGTACATAATATACATAGATATTATAAGCTTTATTCTACTAAATTTACAAAATAAAATTTAATTTTCTTGATGATTATGCCATTACTCTATGGCTGTATCCCGGGTCATGATATAAGTACGAGTTGTATATCCGTAATCTGATATGAAGTTAGATACTAATGTATACTAGTGTATCTTTCTTGGTTACGAAATAATAAAAAAATAGTTTTTATTTAAATTGTGCATGCAAAAATTGTATTGGTTGCAAAAAAAATTTTTTTAACTCTCGGCCCACGGGTAGGGGAGGATCTATCCCCTATATCTATCTCTGTAGATCCGCCACTCCTTCTCACATGGACAGCTGTATGTGACATGCTTACGCGTTGGAAAACTTTTTGATTTATTTGTGTACGCACGAGAAGGAAAAGCAAAAAATGTTCCAAATGCACTTTAATAAATATCATTCAATACTTGAATTGTCAGACTTTTCTCAGTAAAATCAATATAATTACATAATGATAAACTAAATTGAATATCGTTGTAAGATTATTACGAAGTATAACCGTTATCTATCTATATATATATAAAAATACAGTGCTAACATAATCACAGGTAACGAATCTAATACATAATTTGAGACATATTAGAGGTAGAATTTTTAACGAATTTTTAACTAGTACATATATATATTGAAATTAAATATTAGGAAAATTTTAAAGATCAATTAAATATTACTCTTTTTGTTCATTTTGAATTTAAATAATTGTACACAGCAATAGGCAGCATCTGGTGAGTTTTAGTAAAAAATGTTGTAAAATTTATTTATTTAACTTTGGTATAATTAGTAGTAACATTTTTCTTTTTAATATTGATGTACAACGAAAAACTTATATTTAATGTTATATAAACTATAAAAAAACAGAATATTATTTATAGTAATAATAATAATAGTCATTATATAGCGGATAATTTCGTGGAACTCTAAATTGTCTGGCAATATTAATGATTGAATCAAATACTAATGTTTTAGCATTCGTACTAAATGAATAATCTATGTGACCAAATGTCTTGTGTGGTATGATAATTGTCTGGTAAACATTCGGCAGAATCGAGATCAGCTTGTGTATGGTCTATAAAAAAAAAATTATATATTAATTTATACTATTATTATATATTTTTATTTTGTTGTATCAAAGTATAATATACAATTTTATAGAATTCTAAAATGAATATAAAATAATAATAAATTAATTATTGTTTATATAGTAAATCATACAATTTTAAACTTGATAAACTACTTTGAATGTGATTTAATCTATACTAACATTAATTTTAAACAAAAACCATATTAGGTTCATAGTTAACTATAATATAACTAAATAAATTTATTCGGAGGTAAAGCGATATATTCGTTTAAAAATCTTGTGATAATTCAAATAATCATTGTATGTTATATTACAATTGTGTTTTATATATTAATAATTTTTAATTTTTTTTTTTTTTTTTTATTGATTAAACCCACGAAAACTATGGCCATTCGATGAGAATTATAATAATGTACAAATTATAATAAAATTGATAAATTATTGTAATACAAGAATTGTTATTTATTCAAGAATGTATGCGCAATTATGTATCATACAAAATAATATATCAACACTGATTGTTTGGAATAACTCTAGTCAGTTTTGTGAATGTGGAAATACCCATAATGCCCCCCCCCCCGAAATATTATGAAAATTGGTAAAATTTTGACGAATGGCCTTTTTCTTTTTTTTTTTTTACTAATATGCAATTTTAATGATTTTTGAGGCAAAAACCATTAGGGCCATATTCAGTGCAGAGCAAAAGTGGATGGGCCAGGGGCGCAAATTTCAAAACTACTTATGTAATATTTTTCACGAAATATGAAAAAGATGTAGTTAAACCAATTTCATTTCATAGTGTCATCGATAAATTTGCCTCCATAAAAGCAAGAAAATTACCATTGTAATATTCTATTAAATAAATTTAAAATAATCTAACACAATTGTAAAACAAAAATATTCGAAGAAAATTACATGTTTTTATAATGTATTGATTGTTTATACATATTTTAAAGTAATACAATTAGTTATTAAAGTTTATTAGTAATTATTACCTTGTAAATTATGTTTTTATACATGTTTTATATATCTCAAATGATTTTTTGTAAAAAAATGCAAATTTCCGATTGGGGGGGAGGGGAGCACAAATACAGTGATTCGCTAGGGGTGCCAGTAGACTTCAATATAGCCCTAAATACAATTTTTAGAGGAATAATATTTAAAAATGTATTGAGATCATAATTCGTTATAATACAAGTACTAGTTGCGCTACTCGTAAACTTGAATTGATAAATTATCATAAAACATATCTTACACCGCTGTCGACAACCCTGTCGTTCTGGCTGTAGTACAGTACAACGGGTGACGTGACTTTACGTAGATCGTATTCAGGTGGTTTAAGTTGCCCGTACTTCCACATATTCTTGCTAGACCCCATGTCATAATGTTGAAATTTACCTGGAAATAGAGACTGTTATAAAAAGTGCGTGTCTTGCTGTATATAGTAGTAACCTAACCTATCCAAGGGATCTATGAAAATTAGTTTATGCGGCTCACCGAACAAGGTTAGACAACGCAGTGGCGTGATTGTCTGTGATTGTGGTTCAGGTGACACTTTGGGTCCTTTCTGGGCATTTCACTGGTAGAAGGGCAAAGTTATTATTTCTCTCAAGACATTTTAAAGCAGTTGCAATATTCAACGGGTTTATAAAAAATGCTAAATATTAAAATATTATACAATCACCAATTTACTCGAGATTTAGTTTTAAAACGGCTAATTATATTATATTTTTTCGAAATAATAATTATTCAAACGTTAATTGTTCATTAAAATGAATTTTTTTTATATTTCATAATAGACATCATAGGTGCAACTAGGGTAAAAAATCTGGAGGGGGCTACAGCCCTCTTACCAAAACTTAAAATATTCTATAGATTACCCCTACTCTTATATACCATGTTAATATATTTTAGATTCCAAGCCAAGTTCTTTTTTTTTATGTGACATTATTGTGAGTTAAGTTAGTTAGTGAGTTAAGTATGCTATATATGGTATATTATGTATAACATGGAATATTTATGGGGAGCTAAATCTTGGCCCAAAGGGCTAAGCCCCCTAGCCCCCCTAGTTGCTCCGATGATGGACATCATTCATAAAAATTATTTGAAAAATATTAAATACGAGTATTTCGACAAAAATTGTGTATTATGCCGTGAGCCCTAGCAACTAATTAAATACTGCTGCTTCGATAAAACTATATAAGATGTTTAAACATATTTATTTTTTCAATTTTCAACTTACTAGTTCGAATCATCTGAAGTAAATGGTCTATACTGTTTAACGATACTCCAGCTCTCGAGTAAGCTAACTTGAAATCCAAGTTCATCTGAAACATCACCAATAAAACACTGTTCTTTCGATTTTAATTATACATAATATCGCACGAAGATACAATCACAAAATTACGATAACAATCCAAAAATACTCACTGTTGAGTTTTTGGAGGTGGTGTCGAATCCGAAAAATTCTGACAGTAACGATACGCACGCGTTAAGGAAAACTGATTGTTTACTGCAGAACAACGATATGGAATTTATCGACCAATGGTTTCGTGGAAACAGCTCAAACTTCTTAATATTTCGTGCTATTGCCTGAGAAAAGTGTAACCACACATGATATATTATGACCAAACTGGGCATATTACCAGGCACGGTACTAGCATTTTTTCCAGGGGGGGGGGGAAGGACAGAGCGAGGCAAATATTTTTTTTTTACATGGGCTGTTTTTTCAACAAATTTAGAGGTTATTTAAATAAAATACAAACATTTTTTGTATCATTTAAACTTAATATAGCTATTATTATTTTTGTGATATACATCCACAATTAGATGAAAGCGAACAAATGGTAATAAATCATAAGTAAATAAGTAAAAAAAATATACACTATTCAGAGTCTATCTAAAAACCTTAAACACAAATCTTCAAAAATACGAAAATTCGTACTTACATACGAGTAAACTACAAATTTTTAAAAAGTATATTTCATAAATTCTTTGATATAGCTCTTTTAAAAATAATGTTTTATGACTTTATTATATCGTGTATTTTTTCAAGGAGGGGCCTGAACTGTTTTTTGGGGGGCTAGAGCCGCCTTTGGTGCCGTGTCTGAATATTATTAAAAATTATATTTAGTTTTCTCGTTATATTATTACATAATTGCGATTTCGGTAAAATAAAAAAAATTATTATTACAATTTGAATAATACGGCTGTATATCACACGTGTTATTTATTTTATATACATATCTATTTACATATGTTTTATAGACAATTTACTTTCAGAGAATCCAGATTTATGGCACAGTAGTTTTAATTGAGTAATTAATTAAATAGATTTTCAATAAGACCTGGATATTTTGCACTGTATACAATTTATAACATTACAACTAGAATAATTGTGTTTGCCTTTGTACAGTGCAATTAGGTAGGTCAACCACTAATTTATTATTAACGTAAATGGTACCCCCAAAAAAACTTCGGAGAAGTAAAGAATGTCTTCTGTGCTTTACTTTTAAGGATTGGAGTATTTGAATTTTGAGACAAACAATTAAAATCAACCACAAAATGCTGTGCCTAAGAGAGTGCCATAATACAAGAAAAAAAAGTTAGAACATTAAAGTAAATAGAGATGTAAATTCAAACCTAAAATGCTGTGCCTAATATATGCGAAAGAGAGAGAATAAAAAAGAGCTCATATTACAATTTTTTGGCAAATAAAGAAATGAAATGAAACCTCAAAATTTTGTGTTTTAACTTGAAAAATTGTCTAGCAAAAAAATTTGACGAAAGAAAATTGCACATTTTCAGCAACAAAAAAAAAAAAAAATCGAAAAGAACATTCCATATTTATTTTCAAAAATTCACATGTCCAAGGATGCACTTTATTCTACGTATTTTTGTTATTTTTTTTTTTTTTAAAAAGAGCAATTTCATGCGTAAAATTTTTTTCACTAGACAACTTTTCAAGTTTAAGCACAGCATTTTAAGGTTTGATTTCACTTCTTTATTTACCACAAAATTCCAACGTAAGATTTTTTTATTCTTTCTCTTTTATACCTATTAGGCACAGCATTTTGAAAATTTTCGATTACTAATCACCCGATTATTTACATTTGTACTAACTACAAATGTCAAATACGACAAATGAACTGTTGTAGGAAGCCTAGGAACAACCGTCTAAAGACTGTAAATCCGAATGGCTGCAAGATGTTTCTTGTCAGTAGGATTCCGATTTTATAAGAGCCAAAAAAGCAAAATATGCACGAAAAAATTATAAAATAAGCATAAAAAAATGTGAAATAAGCAAAAAAAAATATTTATTTATTTATTTATTAAAATTTAATTAGTAAATTCTAAAAATCTAGATTTAAAAAATTGTATTATTGAAAACTAAAAAGTGGCGCATAATCGGATGGCATTTGAAAGTTTATTGAATTGAAAAAAAAGTTAAACAAATATATTTTCATTATTTGTAAAATACGAAATAAATATATGTTGTATAATACCTGTTATTGCTTTTGCATTAAACCATAAATATTTTCGTTAAATTCATTGTAGACTTTAAAAAATAACAATAAATAACCACAAAAAATAATATTGAGTTTTATATGATGCACGTTTTCCGCATTATTAGCGCTAAGTTATGTAACATTATTTGAAATAAATTGGTTTAGAATGAAAAAAATTAATTTTTTTATAAAATATTAACTATGCACACAAATATGCGAAAATCAATGAAAATCGACGAAATATATACACTTTTTCTCTAAAATTAACAAAATATGCATTTTTAATTTTTAATTTTTGGTCTCAATATTGTATAGCATGGATTTCTAGTTTGGTCTGCTATAAATCGAGAGAATACAAAACAATATGCAAATCCTATAATTCCGAATCCTACTTATCCACTATCAATTAAATTTTTCTCTAAAGACCGCAATACATGGATAGATATAGATATGAATGATAATGATATAAATGGATAGAAATAGATTATGCTCTTATCTAATATTTAAAAAATGTTTAATAATTAATCCTAAACACAGAACAGACAATAGTAAATATTATAAAGTACATTTTTAAATTTAATAAATGAGGTATACCTAACTGTAATTTCCTTATTTTTTTATTTATTTTTTGATTCTTTAGAATGATTTGAGTAATTTAGTTAAATAGTTGTCAAGAATTGTCTTAAAACTTAAAAGATTTGTACTCTACTGTTGATAAATGCAAGTTATGTCGTTTAGTATAAGCAACTTCAAATATGATTTGGGTATTTTAACACCTATTCTTAACTTCATTGTACACATTGTATACATGTGGTGTAAAAAGGATTTTAATATCTTAGGCATAATTAAAAGAAATTATATTTTTTTATAATTATTAGAAACCTATGGCTAAAAAAGCATACTTTTAGTATTCGGTAACTAATTTTTCTAGAACTTTTATTAATTTTAGATTGTGAAATTTGACAAAAAACTTTATATACGAAACAAAAAAATTAAATTCAAATATATCTTATACAAATACATATATTATTTTAACTATAGTATTGAAAATTAAAATTATCTTTATTTTTCACAATTTTGATATGTATGTCCGTGGACCGTACAGAGGGCCAAATTACCTTACCTCCCTAACTGGGACCGTTATGCGCATCACGCGATGCCAGTTAGTCATAATAAACAAGTAACCGAGGTCGCGCATATGCACCTGGTCAAAACTCAACACAATATAGCGAAAGTAAAAAACTGGTAAACTCGGTCATTATCCATATACAGCAAATGAAAAAAAAAAAAAATCGCTGTTTTGTTATACATAGATCTCACGAGACCTTCGCCCTGTACTACAACGATAGCGAGATCTATCAATGATCCATTAATTCAAATTCAACACTCTCGAAATATAATATTCTAACAATTACTGTGTATTGTGCCTATATAATAACATTGATTTTATTATAAAATCAATGTTACCCATGGACAAAAATTGGTTAAAATCATCAATCTAACATCTAACATATATAACATCTGTCGCTCTCAATTGCGTATGATAATTAAAGTACGCGTTTCATTTTTCTGATTTACAGCATGTCAATGGTTTTATAAAATACGTAGGTACTTATACTTTGATGATGCACCGACTTTGGAATAGCTACATTCTGAACTGTGGCAAATACATGAGTTACATCTCACCTAAATGATGACACTGGATTAAAAATGACCATATTACTTTTAAAAATAAAACCAGATATATTTTAATGTAGGGGCATACTACGTTATATTATAAAAAATATGTTTTATACAGTTTATTTTGTCCTTACAGATATTTAATAGTTACCTATTACAAATGTATAAGTACTCGTATTTACAAATTTTATAATAATTTCTGTACGGCATGTGGTCATTTACTCCATTTATATAAAAAATATTTTTAATTGTTAACATTTTGCTTGCACTTAATTGGGAATATATTTAATTAAAATTCTCTGATTTTATTCTTATTACGTACGATCATTACATAGTATTTATGCTGCAGGAGCGGATTTAGGTATGTGGTGGCCCCTGGAAGGAATGCATTGTGGGGGCCCCTTACACATAAACAAGAAAATATATTTTTTTACTTATTAAATAACATTTATAATCATATTTAGTAGTTATCATTTAAATTTACTTTTGAATGTCTAAAAGGATTCTGTATAGCCATTTCATATTTTTTTTTCAATGTTAAACTATTCGGGGACAACAACTTCTGGGATGTCATTTCAATTTTCAATTTCATTGCAGTCAGGCAATTCAAAATGTTCTAGTTGTATTTTGTATTGTTGGTAACACTTATCCGAAATATATTTTTCCTAATCCCAAACATCACCAATTCATAGACATTTCAAGCAAGCGCGTAGCTCTTATCATTAATTTACTATCAAATATAAAAATGCGTGTACATTACAATGTACATGGGGACTGAAAGGGTTTAATATTAAATACATAAAATACTGTATATAATATTAAAAGTAATATTTATTCTTCATATAGTAATTGTTAAACTTTGAACTAACCTCAGAAGCAGATTTTGTGTTAGACTGTGTTATGAAAAACAGTAATATGTCTAATTTTTGAAATTATTTCTGTATTTTTTTTATCTTTTTTATTTTGCCAATTTAAGTTTATCTGCACCACTCATATAATATCGCTTTAATTTATAACGATCTTCTTCCATTTTTAAATTATAACACTATTAATTGGTTAATAACATAAGAACAACTAGACTACTGAAGTCTGAAACTATTGTAGGTATACACAACTAATATTAACAAACATCTGTCTCGCAATAAGTGTAACGAACAAATAACAATAATTTACCTATAGATGGATAGTCTGTAATGTGTATTTTATGATATTTCCAAAAACTAATCTCATAATTCTAACGGTAAATTATTTTCGTTAATCATTGTGTTTACTACAACATTTTGGCGCATCATTCCAGTTCACATATGTATATTTAAAAACACATTTACTATAATCAAAGGTGCACACGGACGGTATAAAAACCTATCTTATCTAGATTTTTAGACACCGTTCATTGTCAATAAACGCGAATACATTTATTATTATAGTTAGCAAAAATTAAATTTTTGAAATGTCCAAATAAAGTTCAATATTATTTAATTAAAATAAATAAATATAAATAAAATATTTTTTTTTGTATCCTAATTTAAATATAAAATTGCGGGGGCCCCTGGGCTGCAGCCCACTCAGTCCTCCCCTAAATTCCTGCTTATGCTTGCAACTTATTTATTATGTTATTCGTGTTTACACAATTTCCAACTTTTACACTCTCACTGCGGAGTCTCTTGACAAATATTGTCAATAAAAATCTAATTTTATTCAATGTTTTTTCTAATATTTAACTCTTACTTCTTATGGTTACCAACTTATGATCACCTACTTGGGTAAATCGGCAATCATTCTTGTTTCTATTCGTGTATACGATATGTCTAGAAGTTTTTGAGTAAGACAAGATTTGTTATTCATTTTAATTTTCCAGTAACACAATTTCTCTCTCCCAAAGCACTTTCAAACATTTTTCAGAAATTATGGCTACGTCACCAGGTACAGCTGGTATTTTATGATCAAAACCGTTTCGAAAAGTGGTGAAAAATCTTCTGATAACATAACACGTACCTAGGTAATCTATCGGTAAACTTACCAGATAGAATTGACCAAAGTGTACGCCAATCCGTAACAAAATGGATTTAATGTTGGTGAACGCTACGAACGGAGCCAGGTGATAGCTGACGATGATTTTGTCGTTATACTCTGGCCTTGCAGACGTGGTGGCCAACACAACGGCGCTACTCATCGAGTACGTGACCAGGTACGTCTTATCATATTCGGTATTGTTGCACACAAAATCGATCATTGCCGGAACATCGTATAACGCCCACTCGTCAATGCTGAAATATGTATTTTAAATTATAACGAGTATAGCAATAACGTATTAATAATGATTGAAAAAAAAATTACTATACACTATTTCAATTTTTTTTTTTTTTATAAAATATTTGTGAAAAATAATGGTTTTCTTTAATTATATCAAAATATCTTTGTTTTTTTTTTTTTAGTCATAAATAGAGAGCGGATCTTTGGGTTTTTAAAATATTTTTATTGACTTTATACAGATTTACAAGGATAAATAATGTGGACGATTTATCCATCATAGAGTTCGTAGGAAAGCATTTATTTTACATATTTTAGCATATTTTGGACATAAGAGAATATTTAGCCTATTTTCATATTTTTGAATATGTTCAATTGTTGTTCATAAAAAAGCATATTTTATTAATTTCTCGAGTTGTGATTTTTCTAGGAAAAAAAAATTCGATTGTTATATTTATATTCCTATGTATGGAACTGTTATCCATTTTTCCATTTAAATAATTTATCTTTTACCAAGGAATGATGCATACAAGTTAATCATTGTTGTTATTTTGTTTTTATACATTATTTTATTATATTTATGCTCCTATGTATGAAATGTTTTAAATGTTTATATTTAAATAATTTACTAGTTACCAAAGGAATGGCCCATAACAGTAATTTAATGTTTTTATTGAACTATTTAAGAAAAAAAAATCGCATATTTACAAGTTTAAGGAATATTTAGAGATTTATTTAGGATTTTTTTAGATCATATTAGCATCATATTTTAAGCTTTTGAGAACCTAAAAATCCGCTCTTTAGTTATAAACCATTATAGTATCTTTACGAGTGTAATAATTTATTATTATAATCAACTTTTTTTAATTTTTTTTTTTTAACTTACCTGAATTTCCAATACTCCGAGTCTGTTGCATTGAGATACGTATGTTGCTTAGAGTATAAGTTGCCTCTGAAGTCTCCCAACCACACGTCGTAACCGTTGTTGGCTAAGATCGAAGCTACAAGAGGAGGATTATTAAGTTTTTCGTTGCAACACTCGGTCACGTATTCAATATAATGTTATACTAAACCAATGTTGAGTAGTAACGCAACGGAATGTAATGCATTACTATAATGCCGTTACTTTTATAATTAAGTGTTACGTAATTTCATTACATTTTAATGAATGTAATTTACTGTGTAACGAAAATTTAATGAAAATTATTTTATACAAGTAATAAATGCGATTAAATCAAAGAAATGTTTTATTATTTATTGATAACTGTATAGCTCATTTTAATATTAATTTAAAATCTGTAATAATCGAATTTTTACCTCCAAATACTACAACCAAATTATCATGGTTATAGTATAACCAACGGATCAGGGAATAATAATACATTTCAAAATATTATACCGCAAAGAAATTTTTCAAAAAATTGTTTACGTTATTGATTAAAGCAGACCATCCTCAATAAACCTATTACAATCTATGTGCATGTGTAAAAAAGCATGGCGTAATGTACAACTAAATGTAATTGTAAATTGTTTCAAAAAAAAGTTAAAACACTATCTATTTTAGTTTTTATATAACATCAATGTACATATATTTATCATAACGTTTTTTTATCATAAAATTTTAAAATTATATTTCATTAAATAATTCGGTTTTGTTAAGGCGTAGGGAAAGTGGCGCCCCAACCGCCCGATGCATCTTAAAAATGCATCGCAATAGCCCTACCCTGACCTTAATTGGTTGGGGTAGTCTGGTCCTTCAGGTTGGGGGTTTCTCGTAGGGCTAACCACCCTACAGTGTTAAAATAACCTGGTTACGAAACAACTACAAAATATGCCTCGGATGGAAAATGTGGAGCTTAAGGATTTTACAACTGGAACCTGGAACGTACGAACATTATATAAACCTGGAAATCTGACGACAGCGATATTGGAACTTGAACGATATCGGCTGGACATTATTGCGATTCAAGAAGTATGGTGGACGGGAGAAGGAAGCTTAAAAACTGGAAATTGAACGGTATTCCATAGTGGTGGTGATGAACATCAGGGTGGGGTTGGTTTCATTGTGAATGACAAAATATTACATAGAGTTAAGAAGTTTAAGGCAGTGAATGACAGAATTTGTCATATGGAGCTGGAGTGCCGATGGTTTAATGTGATATTAATTAACGGGTACGCCCCAACTGAAGACAAAGAAGATGAAATCAAAGATATTTTTTACGAAAATTTGGAAAATGAGTGCGACCGGATACCGACCAACAAGGTAAAAATCTTATTGGGAGATTTTAACGCAAAAATAGGGCAGGAGGTAGAGTATAGACCAACAATTGGGAAGGAGAGCCTGCATAGAACATCAAATGATAATGGCACAAGATTAGTTAATTTTGCTACAACCAGAAATATGATAATAAGTAGCACCACATTCCCACATAAGGATATACACAAGGAAACCTGGGTATCACCATCAGGACAAATAAAAAACCAAATAGACCATGTTGTAGTGGACAGACGTTTCAAGAGATGCGTCATGGATGTCCGGAGCATGAGAGGTAGCAGCGCAATGTCCGATCATTTTATAGTAAGAGCAAAAATCAAGCTACGTCTGTCAGTTGAATGGAGAAAAAAGAACGTCTCTATCAAAAGGTTTAACATAGAAGACCTAAAAAACCAAGAAATCAATATACAGTACAAGAACAAACTAAAAGAGACCTTGAATCTGACGGAGAATTCAAATAACGTAGATAATAACGTAGATAATCTATGGAATGAGATCGAAAACTCGATTAAAACGGTGGCCACAGAAGTCCTAGGATTTGAAGAAAGAAGAAGGGGGAAAAAATGGTTTGATGAACAATGTAAAAAAGCGAATAATGAAAGAGATATTGCCCGAATAAAAATGCTAAAAGACTCAAGTGAGGAAAATAAGAGAGTACTATCGGCTAGACAAAGGGAAACTAAACAATTGTTTAGAAAAAAGAAAAGAGCATGGGAAAATTCTAGACTTGAAATAATAGAAAACAGCTATAAAAACAATGTAAGACTTTTTTTTGAAAAGGCGAATGAAATTAAGAATGGATTTAAGACAAAAGCAACAATTATAAAGGATGAAGAAGGATTACTAATAACGGATAAAAAAAAGGCTGCAAACGAGTTCAGGAACATGTTTGAAACAATGCTGAATCAACCTACTCGAGTAGAAGTGGAAGAAAACCTCAACACGGTTGAACAGAGATTAGACGAACCCACGTTAGAAGAAGTAGAAAGGGCAGTAAATATGTTGAAAAATAGGAAAGCACCAGGGGAAGACACAATTGTTGCAGAACTACTGAAAGAAGGAGGAAAAGAACTAATGACACGACTGAAACGACTAGTAGATAATATATGGAAACAAGAAGAAATACCAGTAACATGGCACATGTCAGTTCTATGCCCGGTTCACAAGAAAGGAGACGCTATGGTTTGCCAGAATTACAGAGGAATATCCTTACTAAACACTTGTTACAAATTAGTTTCAAACATCATACTGAACCGTATCAAGCCATACACAAGGGAAATAGTAGGGGAATATCAGGCAGGTTTTACGTCAGGGAAATCTACAGTGGATCAAATTCATACAATAAAACAAATAGTAGAGAAAAGTCACGAGTTCGACATAGATGTGCACCTACTATTTGTTGATTTCAAACAGGCATATGACTCCGTAAATCGAGGTAGATTATGGAAAGCAATGACCCAACTCGGAATCCCTACAAAATTGGTGAGATTGATAAAGACATGTGTGCAAAAGTCCAAGTGTATAGTTAAGTTCAACGGAGAAATATCTGAAGATTTCTCAGTTGAAACAGGTCTTAGACAAGGAGATGCGTTATCCCCCACATTATTTAACATAGCCCTAGAATCGGTAGTGAGAGAAGTACTTGATGATGATGTCACGGGCCTAAGAATTAGAGGAGGACACCAAATCACACTAGCTGCGTATACTGATGACATAATAATTATGGGAGAAACCGAAGAGGACCTAAAACGGTCGGCAGAAAAACTAATAAGTAAGGGAAAAGAGATTGGACTACAAGTTAATGAAGGAAAAACGAAATACTTAATAGTATCACGTAGAGAACAAGTACAAAATTCGTTAGTAGTCGGTGGATTTACCTTTGAAAGGGTAACAAACTTTAAGTACCTGGGAGTAGATGTTAACCAACAAGCAAACAGCCATGATGAGATTAAAAGGAGAATAACTGCAGGAAATAAGAGCTATTTTGCGCTCGTACCTATATTTAAATCAAGATTAATCTCCAAAAATACAAAAATTAGACTATATAAAGTACTCATTAGACCTATAGTATTGTATGCTTGTGGAGCATGGGCATCAACAAAGTCGGACGAGAAAAGATTACTACTATTTGAAAGGAAAATACTGCGAAGAATTTATGGACCCAAAAGAAACGAGGAAAATGTATATGAACGAAGAACTAATGCAGAATTAAGGGCAATGTTCAATGAGCCAAACATAGTGGGAATACTTAAAAGCAGACGAATAAGCTGGGCCGGGCATGTATGGAGAGCGGAGGGCCAAACAGTATATGATGTCACAATGTGGAAACCAAATAAAAAACGACCGATAGGAAGGCCAAGACAGCGATGGACAGACCGGGTTAAAGAAGACCTCAAGCTCCTGGGGATTAGAGAAGGAGAACAACTGGCGAAGAACAGAGAAGTGTGGAGAGGTGTAGTAGAAGCGGCGATGGACCTTCAAGGTCCGGAATAAGCCAAAAAAAAAAAAAAAAAAAATTCGGTTTTGATTTAATTTTGATGAATTCTAGTTGGGTACCTTAAATAATACATATCTGGAACTTAATTTTTATTCCCATTCAACTTCGAGTTATCGCGACTCGATTGTATATTATTAAATTTTATAATTTCAATAAAATCTGGACAAGATATTTTTCAAAGTACGTTTCTTTAACGGCAACGGAAACGAATCGGATAAAATAAAAAAATGTACAATATTTTCACTAGAGATGTAAGATCAGTAAATTTATCAATTATTTTTTTACAGGCAAATATTTTTTTATCGAAAAAAAATTAGCACATATCACCTTAAATTAAACGTCTTTACGAAATTAATATTCATAACATTTCAATAAAATGGAATAGTTGATATTATGAAACTTAAAACATTAAACGTTCAACATCCCCACAACTACTGTTAATATTATATAACATATACATACAATTATTATCGCTATTAATAGTTCGGTTTTAAATATAATATAAGTATAATAGTTCGGTTTTAAATATAATATAAGTATAAATTTATTTACAACCGTGCTATTAATAAATTTGATTTTATTGACATCTCGATCTATGAACTGTAACCATTCCTATGACAGTACCACGGCTGTAGATACTATTCACTATCATACTATATACATCCTTGGATAGTTACTATGAACCTATGTTATATACAATTTATATAATGTCATATTAAATTTATAATACCATGAATACCCTACTATCCAGTAAAAATTAAAATATAATTTTACTATGGTTATAAGTTCATGAAAAAAGAGAAAGTGAGGAGTTCCTAGGGATGTTCTTATGGTGACATACAAAAATAAACAAAATTTATGTAGACTTTTCTTGGTAAATTATCAAAAAAAAAAAAAAAAATACGTAAATTTTACATCTCTAATTTGCACATATTCCGTTTAATTAACAGCAACATGGACTTTTATTACAATTTACAACTCGATATTATCCAGTTCCAATTCCAGTTATATGCAAATATTGTGAAGTTTTTAATTTTTAAATGATTATTTGATATTGTTATCATGATGTTAAAAAAGTTTTATCCCAAATTATTTGTCGTTCTTCGTTTATAATAATTAGTTTTGTAGAAAAATTGTACCTAATAAAATATGCCACGAAACACGACGTCGATGAATACGAATTTACAACTAAAAACTTAACTACTCTTAAATAAACAAAACTTAAAAACGGGTATCGCATAATGATTATCGGATACGAAATCAGGAAATGTAAAAAGTTATATCGATTAATATAGTATTGACAAAACGGTCAGTTTCAAAAACGTTCCGGTGACCGAAAAATATCGAGTCACCGGTTAACGGGCCAGCGGATATCCGTTAATTGAAACGGATAGTGTGAATAACTATGTTACTTATCTACTCCATTTTCTATTTTTATCAGACCCGTTTCCATTTCCGTTAAAAAAACCGGATTTTACAGTTCATTCCTTCGGATCGGCGGTCATCAAAACCGCACACTTACCATTCATAACCGCACATATTTATTCTATTGATAAAAAGGAAAATTTGAAAGGTTGATAGTTCAAAACCGCACACATTTGGTTAACAGTTCCTTTCTCTCTCCACACTTACTTGCATGTACAGTTCACGTTGCCAGTTCTGTATGAGTCCCATACAAAATCTTTTTTTACCCTGGGACCTACCTGGGGTGATGTTACATAGCAAATCGGGGGATATTTTCGTTAACTGTCCGAGCGAGCGCAGCTAGCGAGTGACCCCACTCAGTCACGAGGTGCACTCATGTTATTTTAGATAAATGTATACGTAATTGATATATATGTTACGGGTAATGTTAACATTTGGCTAATGTCGACATTATCCGGCTAAAGTAGACATTAGCCATCTGTTATGGCTAATGTGTAATTTTTCGTTTATAAGCAGAAATTATTAACGTTATCCGGATAATGTTAACCTTAACCAGTCAATATTGGATAATGTTAAAAGTTGTATATTAAATAGAATATAGAGTTTTTATTAGCAATTTTCTATACAATAATAAAGCGTCGGACTTCCAGAGTATAATATCTTATTTTGACTTGTAACCGATTTAGTCAGTTATTTTACCGATGAAGTGAAGAATATATCGATGTATGGGTTTAATATTTATCTTAATTGTATAACATTTTTTATTATAATTTTATATGTGTTATACAAAATACGACGTTGCGCATTTATCTATTGTTAGTCTGCTTTCAGTTTTCATATGTGATAATTGCAAGTACAGTGTTATTAGTGTTAAACTGTTAAGTATTTTAGATTACATTTTTAATAAAATAATGAAAAATATTTGAATATAATTAATGAATTAAAAGACGGCAATAAATCTCATCGTTTGAATAAATTTCAAATTATTAATATCGGAGGAGATATGTTGTTAAGGCATTATCCAAAAGTTCTTGGCTAATATCATATTATCCGGTTAATGTTAACAATAGCCAACATTTAATAATATTCATGGTGGGTAATGATAACAGTTGGCTAATGTCGACTTTAGCCGGATAATGTTGACATTACCCGTAACATATATATATATATATATATATAAATTTGTGCGGTATTGAACGGTTTAATTTGGCGAAAATATGTGGAATTAAGATATAAAAGTGTGCGGTTTTGAACGACGCCCCTTCGGATTAGCAGATTCTGCAACAGGCATGTGTTATATTGTAATTATAATTTTATATTTTTACGTTTTAGTTTGAAAATTAGAAAATGAATCGTAAAGAAGGTATATTAAACCTTTCTTGACCCTAATATGATAGGTTTATAAAATTGTATTTGAGTCCGGATAATAGAAAAAATTATAATGTTTATTTTAATTTATGTGTCGATAGTTCGAAACCGTCATCAACATCCAAGATCAGTTCATCAAACTTATATAAGCATACAGCAGTAAGTAGTAGCATTATTATTATTTTTTATAGTATTTATTATAATAGGTACTTCAATTTTTCAATTTTTTTTTCAATCATCACTTAAAATTAACGTAGTTACTTTATTAATTTAAAAGTAAAATAATATCATTACAATTTTATTTGGTTAACATAAAATGTAATGTTATTATATTTAAGTAATCATTAATGAGTAAAGTAAATTATAACTTTTTTAAAGTAACAAATCAAACACAGCACTATACGTACGCAAATCGTGATGTTCGTCCCTTAGAAACCATTGGTCGGATGCTCCCATGAGGGCATGGAGAAGCAAAAACGGTGGACCACCGTGACCTTTGATATGAAACAAATTAACCAAATATCCGTCTTCGGTCGGCACGGAGTATCTACTGTATCCCGCCGAATGGCCATGTTTTTCGATGAGTTGACCCTTGAACATATAAAATAAAACTTTTAATATAATTTTCTATAATTAACGAAAATGTATCGTGTATTATTCCCACGTTATTTATAGATTTACTAGATTAGATACTACTATTAGATGGCTTCGGAGAATTCGGTTCATTAGTTTTAACTTATTATGCTATGAATTGAGAAAAATAATAATATAGTCCGCAGTGTAAAATAATTTGTATAGTTATTATTGGTATAGATTATCTGGACCGTACAAATCTGGATATATATATCTGCATATCCACATTTATTTTGTCCCTGTTACCTAATTTAAGTGGTTTTGCGTAACAAGCCAAGGGATATTTTCGATTTGCGAAGTGTAGCGACGAGTGCCAATACATGCGTAATCGTATCCAGATTCATACGGTCCAGATAATGTACTTTCCAGATATGTACAGTTTAGATTTATGCGGTCCAGAATTCTAAATTCTAAGTTTATACGTGGACCCATAATATATAATATAAAAAAACAGGAAGAGTTTTAGATTATTATTATTTTTTTTTTTGCCAGATAATATAGATAGGTATATTGTGTATATTTTGATGAATAGTTCAAGTATTATTGCATTAGTATAATATAGTTTAGGAGTTTAGGACATAAATAGTTTAACATCAACTATTGTCATTATAATGTAGTATTATTAGTCATAGAAACAGTATACATAATAAATAAACAATCAGTGAGAGTAATAATTACGAAATTTTCTGTTAGTGCAGTTCATACAATAAATTGTTGATTATTACAATTAGGTACTTATTTTTTAATTATTATAATATTGTGATAAAATAGTATTATTTAGGTAAAATTAAAATTTTTCTAATTACAATAACTAAATAGCTTTTACAGAAAGAAAGCTGAATAGTGACTAAATAATCAATTCAAAATTGAAATACAGAACGATAATAAATTATAATAACATCTAATATAGGTGTATAATATTAATATCAGGGCGCGGAAATATAATTGCTAACATTATTATAGAATACCACGAAATAATGTATCCAATTATATTACACTGTTTAGGTTTATTTAGCTAAACGCGGTGCGATAGCGGTACGGGGGGCACTCGCACGCACTCGCACGCACATGTCATCAGGTAATATCGTGATCGCAAAAAAATGTTTATTTTTCATTCCAACATACGTTTCTAATTCCAACGCTATGTGTCGACAATTATCACGATTTTCATTCTGAAAAAATATTTGGATGATCCGTAATATGTACGAGGGATCGATCGAGGCACATTTTAAAAATTGTATTTAGTTAATTAAATATTTAAGTTTGAAATTTTGTATTTTTTTGTATTTACAACAATATTTATTGCAATTCAAACTACAAAAATTAAGAATGTGGCTCGGTCGTTCCCTTGTACATATTACGGAGCTCCGAATATTTTTTCAGAATTAAAATCGTGATAATTTTCGACACGTAGCGTTGGAATTAGAAACAGTAGTTTTTGTTAAAAAAAGACGTGGTGGTGAAGCCCCTTAACTAAAAAGTATTATTTTTAATAGGCAGAATCCTAAAGTAAATATGGGTTAGACATATAAAATACAATTCTAAAATTGTATTAGTATAAAAATTTATATAATCATCAATTTTAAATTTAAATAAGTACTAGATATCTGTTTCACAGTATTATCTACCTACTTGAACACATAGAATACCTAAATAATATATAATTGTTTGCAAGCTATATCAATTTCATCAAAATAGTTAGTACAAAATAAATAATTGATTTCATATAGTTAATTTATTTAAACCCTATATTTTCTTCGTGTGTTTATAGATTCACTGGTTTCTAATAAATTTGAATTATACATAAAAAATGACAAAGTCTAATCTGATACTTACCTAGTACCTATGTTAAAATGTGATTATGGACATTTATAAATAATAAAGGAAAACTATCCTAAATAATAAGCAGTTGAATAATACCTACGTAGATACCTATAATCTATTGAATGTGCAATATTTTAAAATTGAATTTGTAATTAATAATAAAAATAATATATTAACTAGGTATTTAATGATACTTTTACTTATTATTTTTTATATGTAAATATAGAATGCGTGCGTATTAATATAATTAGTAATTACATATAATTAGTATTTACCTTTTTACACTCCAGTTTAGTACATATTATTTATATTATATAAGGATTTAACTATATTGAGTAGGTACCTACCTACATAATAATAGTTTTTGGTTTTTGACATTCAAATAATTGGCACGAAATAAACAACTGATTTCATAATTCTATGATAATAATATTATTATTGATTATATAAACTATTTGGCGGCATTTTCAAAAATAAACCAATCGTAGGGCTTGATTTTAATACAGTCGCCGAGCTCATGTACAAAATGCTTATACGCGTTCGCGCGATTCGTTCGAAAAGCCTACCTGTGTCGGTACGCGATTCGTGTGCACCGCCGTATGAGTTGTGTACGACGTTTACGATAGTATTGAATACACTCACCGTGGTCAAAAAGTCGACCGCGGCCGTTGGTCGGACGGAACAGAACGTCGAGAAGAATACGGCCGCGACTAGGGCGTTGGTGGAACCCGGACGGCGGCGCGACTGGAGCAACGCACGTGTTGAAACCATCGTAAGGACACGCGGCGACGTCGCCACCCGCACACGTAGCCTCCGCGAACGCACTGTTGACCGTCGTCGTCGTCGTCGTCGTTGTCCGTGCCCACCGCATCGCGCGTTCAAATCACTCGACGGATATGTGTCGTAGAACGCTCGTGCCGCCTCTCGGACTCGCCGGAACATGCTGTACTGTTATGATTATTATTATTGCTGTCCGTGCGTGCAAACCTACGTCGTGTACGCCGCGGTACGTCTAATTATTGTTGTTCGCCAAGACCGGTTCATGCTTGCCTCGTGCAGTTGGTCAAAACCTCGAAAAACCCGACCTTCGATGTTCACCGTTCGCGCGTATAAGGTTGATGGCACCTGTGTGTATACCGCGATACGGATAAAATAACAGGAAGGGCTACGGGGGCGATCACCTCCCACCCGCCTGGTGGTTGTCCGTGACTTTTTTCAAAATGAAAGAACCGCGTACAGACGTGAGCATCGCAATTACCAGGGGAAAGAAAATTACTAGCAACTACCACCGCGGTTATACACCTATACGAAACATGTAAATAGGTACGCGTTGTTCGGGCAGTAAGATTACTAAAATATCATAGTTGAATAAATCAAATTATTACAATTTAATTTGAATGCGAATCATCTATATTAATAAATATTTTATAAACATGTTATTAAAAAAAAAAAGACAATACTCTCAATTAATAATGAGCACTTCAATTTATAGTTTTAGTTATTTCGAACTGTAGTTCGGTCAACTGTTTTTAATAATAAATACTTATTTATGTTTCACTAACCTTACAGCGGAGGTAACTATGAGTTCAAGTAAATATAACAATAATCGTTATTATAAACAAGTGTTATTACTGTGAATGAGGAAATAACTCCCTAAAATTATTACTGAATTTTGGACTATGGCTCTCTTCCTAAAAAAAAATTAAATCCTGGAATCGTCACTGCCTATAGCAATTATAAAATACATTTAATCCTACTATTTTTAAAGTTCAAAAAACTGTTTGGTTTTTTCACGGACACTAGACCTACATGTATTGTCTCCATCTTACAAACATTTAACATAAATAAAATTTAAACTGGAAAATTAAAAACCAAGATGTTAAACGTTTTATTCGAACAATTGCCATATAAACAATTGTTACAAATAAATACCTTGTACTAATTGTATACAACAAAATGCTCCGAGACAATAAATAACTTATCTAACTGGGCTAGACCTGTTATTTATTTATTTATATATATATATATATATATATATATATATATATATATATATATATGTACGCTCTATAGGGTTCAGTACAGTACATGAACAAAATATATAATTAATACTTATTCAATTAATTTTAATTGGTATAGAATATTCTAATCTATTCTTTCTGAACATGGTGATTACATAATAAAAGTTACAATACAGTGTATTTAGTGTTGAATTAACTTAAGACTAAACGTTTTAACCTGGTTGAGTTATCATTGAAAGAATCAAACATTTTTATCGTGTTTGCTGTTGTCAGCATTCTATTAATTGGAGCGTATAAACTATAATTTTGGCGATTGGTAAGGAGGTAAAATGTGTGTGATACATGCGTTACAAAGGACATTTAAAGGTATTAGATTCAATAGTTCAGGGCATTTGATTTGAAATTTCAATAATTTATGGAACCAAAGTACATCAGTTAACTTTCTACGTTTATCAAGGAATTCAATATCAAATTCCAGTATTAACTGTTTCAGAGATAAGTTTATTTTTTTTGTTTTATATGCAAGTACCCGTAGTAACCTGAACTAAATACGCTCAATCTTCGTTACCAAATTGGTCTGGTGAGGGTTCAAACGGGCCAAAGAAAATATAAGACTTTAATGCAGTTCGAATTTTTAAATTCTGAGCAATTACGACGTATGAAACCGAGTACCCGAAGAGCCTTATTACACATCATATTTATATGGTTATTGAAATACTGGTCATTTGATAATAATATACCAAGATCTTTTATTTGTGTTACTATCGTAAGGTCAGAGCTATTAATTGTATAATTAAATTTTAGGTTTAATTTTAGACGAGAAAAAGTTATCTGTGAGCATTTTTCAGCGCTTACGCTAAGTCCGTTTGTTGTGCATCACGAATAAAATCTATTGAAATCAGATTGTAATTTAGCACAACCATCAATTGAATAAAGTAGTAAATTAAGTTTTAGATCGTCAGCAAAAATTAGAAAAGATTGAAAACTGTTTTTCAAAGATATTTGTAACGTCATTTAAGACAATAAAGTAATAAACTATGTTTGAACTACTGTTTTAAAGTAAATTTGAAAATCTCTAACCGTGATACACTGAATATAAAGGTTTTGAAGACGAATAATAAATTTGTTCGAGCAATTTTATTGAGGGCTACATGATTTAATTGATTTGCACATAACATTTACAAGAGAATAAATAGGTATCGTGTACAATCCATTAAATTCTGTAAATTATTTGAAAATATTCAAGTTTATAATATTACTTGTTATTCACGACACATATTGCCTCGAACGAGATGAGTGTGGAACGGAATCGACGTTTGCGATTTCAACGCTGCAATTAATTCGTTCGCAAATGGCGTTTACGCGGAGGAATGTAAAATATACAGGTAGAACCGACGTGAAACGAGAAGTTTATCGAGATATAATTCGCGAAGTTATTCAAGGAGGACAATGAAAGACACGCGTATATATCTATAATTTACGTTTTCAAAATTATATACTGTGAAAATGGTCGTCTGTACTTTATCCATTGCCACGAGTACTACCCGGTAACCCTAACGGTTAGGAATAGTCGTTTTTGATGAAGCCCAATGAAGTACGTCGAAATTTACTATTCGTGGATTATAGTTGATATCGCTTCACTTTTTTTTTTATTTGTAATAACTGAAAAATCAACGTGTAATCTTATGCAAATGCCTATTTGAGGGGTAGAGCGAAGGAGGCATTCACCCCCCCCCCATGGTTCGTATTTTTTATGAATATAATACATTGATTTATTTAAAAAATGTAATGTATAAATAATTAAGAATATAAACTACTAGGCTATCATTATAATATGTTATCATTTTAACAGGAACATGAGTTGTAGGTAATGAACTGTAAATTATTTTTAAGTTTGTATTGAAGAAAATTAGTTTCCCTTCCATGACCTCAACTCAAATACACCCTTGATCCTGTGTGTCGGAGCTCTTCTCCAATATCGCATTATATATATATATATATATTTTTTTTTCAACTAGAAATTACATTTTATATACAATTATTTTCATGTATCGATTGCAAATATTATGATAGAACAACAAGCAAACTTATTGTCCAGTACTTTGCGACCGTTTCGTTTTTTATCGAATTTCGGTAATTAGATAACTATTTTTATACGTTGCATCATAAAACAACAAGAAATATGATTGAATACAACCGTTCTGTAAACAAGGTGGGCTGCGAGAATTGGGACAAAAATAAATTAGGATATAACTCAGTATGTATTAGATATAATTTATATATTAAATTATTTATTTTAGATAAGTCGATCCAAAAGATTTTAATGAATGATTGAAGCAATTCTTTATTAATTATTGAAATTCCCGTTCTAATTGTATCCTTAAAGTAAAAAGTGCAAGGGTTTGATTCATAAACACGTGGCTTAAGATATCATCAAAAGAAAGAATTTTTAACATGAATGTTTTTTACATGACAGATTGATAGTCAATACAAGTATTACAAAATGACATGTACAGTGTACATTGTACACGTTATATAGATATATAGATGAATATAACACTAGTATATTACTTCAAAAGTACCTAGTATATTATGCAGTGTTTTCCAAAATTATTCTGATATGAAGATTATTAATTCGTTATTTTAATCATACCATTCTTCCATTACACATATATTATAATAATTTTTAATTATTCTGTTTGATTTTTAAATGAGTGTTTTATTATTGCGTTGATACTTGAAAATTCACATTTTCTCCACACCTTCAAATATTTCAAATTAAGTACATGTTTTTATAATTTCAAACCAAAATCGGTTATTTAAACAATTCATATTTTTACTTTGTGTTTGTATAATGACGTAGCGAATAATATTAAAAAATGAAAATCATTGTTTTATTTGTACGGTTCACAAAGTATTTAATACTTTTGACCTATATACTTAATAGCATACAATTTTATTACATCATTTAATGCGATATTAAAATAATTTCATTTTGCTTGGCTATACTCGTATAGCTTAGCATAAGTGGCTATATAATGTTTATATTTTATACGTATCAATATTAAATTATCTATAAATTCGTAGATATTTCGTAGTCAGACCATTCTTAGATTTAGATAAAATCGTTACAGAATACGTAAATATAGGATTGATCGATTATAAGAATATAATTTCATGTATTTTGAGGGCATTTTATATTTTATAATGATCATAACGATATATATAATATACATACACTCAATTATAATTTTATTTATAGATGTGTCAATGATACATTTAGAGTACATGCGTCCCGGGGCGAAATGATTTTATTGCCCCCCCCCAACCTGTCACTACTCTGTACAATCACAGACCTTCCCTTTCCACCTTCAATTAATAAAAAATATGTCCCTTGTTTGTTTTGAACAAAGGCGTAAACTGATGGGGAGAGGAGACAATTGCGAGCTCGAAAAATTTAACGGAGAAATGCCCCTTTGTATTTTGTAAATTAATTAGAAAAATATTATAGAAAAAATATTTAAGATTTGTAAGAATTATTTAATTGATATATAAATATATATAATTGTTTGAACTATAAAAAGAAATTAACGGATTAATCAAAATGTATTTGTTTAATGACATTTACCATCATAATACAGCATGATACAAATTAAGTACATAAAATCTTTAATTATATAGTATATTAATATAAGATAAAGTTTGTGCCTCCCCTCCCCATAAAAATTTCCCGAGTTCCACCCATGGTTTTGAATAATATATTAAAATGTACATTCTAGGGTTTAACAGTATACAATGTCAAAGTGTTTTGTTCAATTAAAAGATCATAATAAATAATACCATTATAAAATTTAATCAGCAGTCTTATTACAATTTTCTTCTTATAAAAAAATAGTAGATAACGAGTAGATAGATACTAGAAAACACCACAAAATATGAGTATACATTATACATTTTTATATAAATATACCTTGAATTCGTATA